GATGCGGGGGGCGGTCCAACGATTCTGGACGGTCCAGTACTGTAACGGTGGGCACGAAAGGTTATGCATTTGTCCAAATCCAAACGTGAGACAGCGAACCTTGATGTAAACTGTGGCCTTAAGTTAAGGACGATGTGGCAGTATCTGTAACTTGTACCAAATGAACCACAGGACACAGGTGGTACGATAAGACACTCATTGCAGAGGGCGCTGTGCAGAGGGGAGGAGAGAAAGTCTGTACTAGACGCTGACTCTCTCTGGAAATTTAAAACTTTCCTAAAAAGTAATCCACGGAAAGTAGAGCGCAAGTAAAAATACAGATGAAACGAAAAGATCGAATCTACCAAACGTCGAGGCGGAAGGACACGCACACGGGGTGATCGTGCTCTCCGTTCAATTTGTATATGGTCAAGACTTTCCACAAAAAAGCTTTTGAAACTCCCGATTAATTTAGGAATTATATGTACGTGGGATAAAGCAACAAGAAATAAGCACAGCAAGTACTAAATCGTTCGCGGGAGGGAATGGCGGGCTCGTGCTCGAGGAGGAATACTCAGCGAGCGAAGCGGGCAGCGGCGCGGGCGGGAAGCCACACGCAAGCACTGGGCAGTCAGTGTGCTCACCCTCCCCGGCTCACAGAGATGCCGAGGACACACTCTGATGGAACGGTCCCAGGTGCTGAAGCGTCATGACACCAGGAGTTAGAGCGGACTTAGGGACAGAGCACCGTGTCCCGTGAGGATGACGATCAGCACCAGCTTTGCAGAGGGCAAGTGAGATGAACGGGCGAACCGCAGAGCCCCAGGACCCACTGCCCGCGGGCCCAGCCGCGCTGCTGGAGGGAATCTGTCCAAAAATAAAGGCACTGGCTGAAGATCGTGGATGACCAACACGTGTACAGCCCTGCGACATCAAACCCCTGTAAAATGATCGAAAGAGTCCCTCACTGGTGACTGACTTCATACAGAACAGTGCTGGGAACCATCGACAGAGAGCAAACTTGCTGAGGAAGGCAACAGAGAGACAGCAGGTGGTGAGCACAGTTCCCAGTGGGGGCTTGGCAGGCCCCGAAGACCAAGCCAGGGCGCCCTCCCCCTCCCGCTCCTCCCACAGCCCCTCCACTCCCAGCCAGCGGCCAGCTCACGCAGAGGAGGTACAGACAGGCCCCGTTCACCAGTCCCCGGGCCACAGGGCCCAGCACGCCCCTCCCCACCCCTCCATCTGCCAGCAGCACAGGCACCTGCTGGCGGGTGTCCACCTTACAGATAAAAATCTCCTTTGGGGCCATGCGCCCTTTTGGCTACTGTCCATTTTTCTAGCTCTGCTTCAGGGCTGAACCTCTTAAACTAGCACCTCATCGCTGCACCCCCACCCTCAATCCTGCTCCATTCCCGCCACTCCAAGAGACTTGGTCACCAGTGACCCCATGTGGCCAAGTGCAGCCATCTCTCTATTCTGATTAGAGCTGTACCCAGCCCAGCCTGGAGCAGCCCAGACACCCTTTCCCCGAGGCCCCACGCTCCCCATCGTCCCCTCCTTCCCTGGACCCTCGTTGGCTGCACCTCTACAAACACGGCCCCTTCTCCAGGTAGTTTCTCCAGGTAACCTCACTCAATTCCAACCTCAAACACCTCTGACCTCACCCGACGCTGCGCGTGCACGCGGGCACACACACACGCACACACGCGCACACAAACTTTATGAGGCTGGGTGCTGGCTCCCTGGCATCAGAACCTGAGGAGTATCTCAAACTCTATTCCTCTCAAATATTTACAAAAAGAAGGAAAAATCTGGATACGATAAATAGCGGTGAATAAAGTAACCAACAAAATGTCTACTCACAACGAATTACGTTGCATGGAGGGAAATGAGAGTGTGGAGCTGCGATCCAGGGGGCCTCGCCTGGCAGGGGGAGCTGAGTGGCTGGGAAGGTGGGACACGGGAACTGACGCTTCAAGCATTTACAGAAAATTAGGCTTCAAAGGTTGTTTTTAAAAGCGGAAAGACATCCACTAGAATGGGAAAAGATAAAGAAAGCCTATCAAATTAAAAAATAAAACCGCCCCAAATTCCAGTTTATCAGTAATCACAATTGTAAGTGGATTAAATTACGCTATAGAAAAATGAAGGTTCTCAGACTGAGTATAGCTATAAAATAAAGGAATACGGAAAGGTTGAAAATAAGGAAACAAAGAAATAAGACTTGAAATGGAAGAAAAAGGGACTTTCCGTGGAGGTAACCATCAGGTACACGGACGCCTCTAACGACGTGGCCTTGAACTATAAAGCAAAACTGGAAAAAGGGGCAGGAGAGAAACAACAGAGGAAGTAAATACAGTAAGTGAGGAAACAGACCTGTTGACTAGTACAAATGAGCTGGATGCAGCCTCGCAGTCGGAGGGAGAACAATGCAACCAGCTCCTGGAAAGGACACATTCCTCTCAAGCCACAAGGAAATACTCAGGAAAAGACTGCGTTAAGCCACAGTGAAGTTTCAAAAGGTTCCAAAAAGGTCTCTTTAAATGACCACATAACTAGACCTTAAAGCGATAAAACTTAAAAACAATTACAAATGCATTAGCTCCCCTCCCACAATCTCTGCATTTGTAAGACTGTCCAGTGCCCTTCTACAGCCTGGGGTAAACAGAGCATGAGGACTGAGACCAGAAACCCCTTAGAAGTGAGGAGTGCTGGGCAGCATGAGGCTGACCCAGAGCTGGGGCCAGAGGGGCCGAAGGTCCAGGCTCACCCGTGGGCGTCAAGAGATCGGGCATCCGGAGACAGAAACTGACCTGAAGCACTTCCTTCTCAGGAGCAAGAACCACCACAAAATGAAACCGAAGAAAGACGGGAGGGTTCATGCAGCAGAAACAACAATGCTTGTCTGGGAAGACATGTAATAGTGACAAGCTGTGGGATGTCTGGCCGAGAGAAACAGAAAGTTATCAAAAAGTAACATCGGGTGTGAGAGACTACAAACAAGATTTAAAGGTGACAGGAGAATACAGTGTATAATTCCGACCACTGGTTCCCACCCCCGCCCCCCAGAGCCAGTGCTTCCCAGGATGCACTTGCAAACGCGCAGGACGAGTTTTCTTTTTTGTTTTTGCTTGTTTTGTTTTCGGTTGCACTAGTAGTTGTTGTCCTGGGGGTCCAGCCTGTCACACAAGAACCTTTTCCCACCTGAAGTGCTAATTAGATCTCCAAAAAGACACACGATCCAGATTAAATGAGCAACATGACAGGAAAGCGTCCTACCCTCAGTATGTACAGAACATCTGGAAACCAAGTTTTACAAATACTAAACAGTAAAATACGGGGAAAAGCAGAAGCGCAGCCAATAAACATAAAAAAAATCCTATATTCGTATAGGCACAAAGATGCGTACTGAAAAGCACAGAAAACAGTCGAAAAGATTACACACCAAATCTTAGCAGCAACAGGAATAAAAGCTGGGGGGCAGGTGAGAAAGGAATTTTCACCACTTCTTAGCCTAAGCGTTTCTGCAGTGTTCTAATTTTCACAAAAGAACACGTATTCTACTTGAAAAGATGTTTAAAGTTTCAAACTATTATTGTTTGAAATGATTTAACCTCAAGGACAATCGCTACAACACGAATGGAAAGAACCTCCCGGTGACTTTAAGAGCCCGCTGTCACTTCCCTCACAGTCTACGACGTTCTACTCTATTGCACACCAGATCCCAGCCCACTGGAATTTATGTCTGTGGGAGCTGCGCCCCAGAGGCTGCTCCTCGGTTCCGGGGAACCCGGCGCGCGGGGCGCACTGGGTGCACCGGCTTTCCCAGCGGACCCGGCTGGGCCCAGAGCTGCAGAGACCCGCCTGCCCGAGGGAGGTCCGCGCTCGGCCTGGGCTGTCTACGAGGCACAGCTATGACCAGAGCCCTCTCCGGCTACCAGAAGTGCCCGAGTAAGACCCCTCCTAGGGATGGGGAGGGGGCCGAGGGGCCGGTACTGACCGCGGCTGGGGGCCGGCAGGCTGCTGGCACGGGGCGCGCTCCCTCTCTGCAGCTCGTCCAGCTTCTCCTGCAGCTTGCGCACCTGGCCGTCGGAGCGGCTGACCCTCTGGCGCAGGCTCCTCAGCTCGCCCTTCTTCTTCTCCACCTGCCCGCGCAGGCAGCACACCTGGCTCCGGCTCTGCCGGGACGACGAGCAGTAGGAGTGCAGTGAGTCGATGAGCCTGCAGGCCCCCGACGCCGACAGGATGACCTCGTTGATCGACATGGGGCTGGCATCGCTGTGCTCGCTCTGCACGGCCTCTGCAGCTGGCTTTGGGGTGACGTCTGTCGGAGGCGCGGAGGGGCTCTGGGAGGGCTTCTGAGGCGTCGCGGTCAGGGACGAAGTCGGGGGACTCTGAGCGAGGCCCTTGTCGGGCCGCAGGCTGGTCCCGCTGCAGCCGGGCTCCACGTCTCTCTTCAGCCTCTTCCGGTCCACGGGCTCGCGGGGGACCGACGGCCTCTCTCTCGTGTGCCTGGAGGAGAAACTGTAGGAATGGAGTGAGCCGATAAACCTGCAGGCCCCGGACCCGGGGGGCGAAAAGTCGTCCTTGGAAATGCCGCTCTTGTCCACCAGGCCCCCGTCGGGGGCGCCGCCGCTCTCTCTGCCGGCATCTCCGGCAGGCGTGCTGGCCACTGCCCGGCTGCCGGATGCGGCGGCGGCCAGGGCATCACCTGGAGGTCCCTGCGGAGACCGCTGGGCCCGCTCCTGAAGCGCGGCTTTGTGGGTGGCCCGGGGGGCGGTTTCGCCCTTTGGCGTGGCCCGCTTCGGCTTGCAGGACTCGGGCTTGGCCGTCAGGTTCTCGCTGGAGGATGAGCCTGCGGCACCTTTTCCATCGGTCTCACTCGAACGTCCCCGCAGGCCCCCGGAGGCCTTTCTGGTACCCCTCCTCCTGGTGCGGCTGTGGCTGCCAGCACCCCTCTTCTTCTCGGGCAGGTGGAAGATGGAAGGCACAGCCGTGGGCTTGAGCAGACGGTGCTGGTCCTCCAGCCTTTTGGAGAAGCTGTCTTTGGTGAAATGTTCACTGCAGAGGAAGGAGTACTTAGTGGGGGTCCAGTTATCCCTCTGCACAGCTTTCAACCACTGCATCAGACGTTTTGAGTCCTTTAGGGGGAACCTGAAAGACAAATGACAAAGGAATTAGGAAGAAATCATTACGTGACTCCTCCCACAATGATCAACTGTAAAAGCAAAACAAGTGTTTTCACAAACACCCAAACCTGTGTCGACTTTACGCGTTTAGAAATGGAGTCAGGATTTGAGGAACACCTTCCACTTGCCAGTTGTTACTAGAATAGAAAGACGGACGAGCCACTGTGTACCCTCGAGCAGCGTACCGTCGTGGGGCGATGGGACCGAGGGTGGACAGTTCGTCCAGAGAGCCCTGCAGGGTCACTGCGCGCTGCTGGAGAAGCACAGGGTGGTGTCCAGACAGCAGAAGCTTCAGGAAGCCTTGGAGATAGATCCAAGAAGCTCACAGCTGACCACCCCTCCCGGTGTGCCTGGGAGGCAGGACACTGGGTGCTGAAAGTGGATGGGTGTTCCCCTCGGTTAGAAGCCAGGCCGGGTGTCGGCCAGCGGAGATGGGTCCAGAGGCCGGAAGAGCTTCCCGGTCGCACAGCACGGTACCTGGCCCGGTTGGGCTCGCGCAGCTACGGGTGGGAAAGCAGCCCGGAGGTCGGGCTCCAGGCGCAGTCGGTTCTGTTTCCTACTCACTTCCACAGCCAGGAGGAACACTGCCCCCAGCCCCGGGGGGGAGTAAGACTTCTCAGGAAGGCAAGACCTGCTGTCAGAAACTCTGACCAAAGTGTGCGCCTGGGGGCCGCCAGCCCCACCGGAGGCCCGTGGGCCAACCTGAGGCGGCTATGGTCCGGCTGCTCAGGGAGTTCTTCGCTGGATGGCCTTTTAAACTTCCTCAATGCTTTGTGAGCTGGTTTTCCAAAGACCCCCAATTCTCACGACCTTTGCCCTCAACCAGGCAGCCGGTTATGAATGCCCAGGGCAGCCTTCTCTGCAGTACTTTGCCTCGATTTCCAAAACACTAAAGAAAATTTTTGGGACCCAGAGCCTCTGAAGGAAACTGAAGAAAGCATAGTGGCTGCTCAGGAAAAACATACTATTTCTAGTTCTTTTGATAGATTATAACAATCTAAGACTTAGATGCACACTGCAAACTTTCAACAAGACTAGTAACAAGTGTCACTGAGGTCTTTAAAGATTGAATACTAACACCCTGCAACATAAAACAGAAATAGCTCTTCTGTTCCCTGTTCTGCTACCTCCCGGGCCGAGGTCAGCTCCAGAAGGCACACGGGAACGGCAGGCGCCCGCCCCGCGTGGGAGCCCAGGGAAGAGGCCAAGAGAACCCCTTCCAGACTCAGGCGCAAGCCTGCCCGTGAGGCGGCTGCCCTGCTCCACGCAGGAGGCTGTCAGAGCCTCTCCAGGCACTCACCTCACCTCCGGGGCACAGCTACCTTCCTTTCCCCGGGGCTGCGCGGACCCTTCCAGCAACACCGCGCCTGGAAGCCGTGTTAATCCACGAGCTACGGGACGCATTCCCGTAGCTCCCCACATTCCCGATGGCAGAGGTCAAGGCAGCCTCCCCCGCGATCAAAACAGGAGAAAAGTCACAGCCAACGCCAGAGAACTGACCTAAGGAAGAGGTTTCCAGAATACAGTTTCTGGAAAGCGGCGACGCCAACCCGAATCAATGGAGCGCAGGGCGGCCGCAGGGTGGGGAGGACAGGGTGGTGCAGGCCCCGACGTGGGTGCCGGGTGGCCGTGGGATAGCCTCCTACTGGCCGCAGGGTGACCTCCAAGTGGCGTGGGGTGGCCGCAGGGGGGCGAGGGATCGGGTCCGGTGGCCGCGGGGTGGTCACAGCGGGCACGCTGATGGCCACGGGGGCCGCGGAGTGGGCGCCGCTGGCCGGGGTGGCC